AAAGGATTAGGTTCGGGTTTGATAAATGTTGACAAGGGGCAGCGTATTTCTATCTTTCACGATCAACTTAGTAAATTTAGTCACTATTTATTTTATTTAGTCACTAGACAAAGAATTGTCACTTAAAATTTTAAAACGTTCCATATCTGTTGTTTGCACTCGTTATGTTCTCATTACTCCCTAATTCTGCCATGCCGAATTCAATACAATTATTTTCAATACAGAAAAATGCACCAAAAAGGCCAAATTCGTAGAGGCGCTTTTTGAAAGTTTTTCAAATGCATATGTGTAGTGTGATATATTCATTTAAAGATCTAATCACCCCAATAATTTTGGTGCTAATAAAAATAAATTGTCTCTAACAGTATTTACAGCGTGGGCCTAAACGTTTATAAAAGGACTTTGAAGTCAAATGCCGTATACTGAACGAAACAGCACCAAATTTATTATCAAGCATATTTTTAGCTACTCTTTAAGACAACTTGCAGTAAGGGCATTTTGTGTTAATTTTTAATTTTGAAAAATCTCCAACTTTAAGATTAATAAAAAGGGGTTGAACACTCTACATTCTCAAATACCAAGGTATGACAAATTTTATAGTTAAAGGCCTTTAAAAAAATATTTTTATTCAAGTAGTCTTTGTAATATTAAAAAAAACACACTTTATTGCCCTCCCTGTAGCAGCTAACCTAGGTACTTGTTGTATAATGTACTAAAGGTAACGGAGAAAGCTTGAAAATAAAAAAGACGACATTTGAAATATCTTTGTTATTGTTGTGGAGATGTAGTTTACATGTTTCTCTATGTTGATAATATTTGGTTGGTTGATTTATTTCATCCTATACAATAAACGTTCGTTAAAAACACATTTTACCTTCGTAGCAGCAAAACTAAACACTCTTTAAAACTAACTTTATCTACGCTATTATTTTGCCCGTGCCGAGGGTAGAATATAAACACAAATTCCACAAGGATGTATATTTCTAGTTTTACTGTTTGATGTATTTTATGTGTTCGTGATAGTATTAATTTAACTTAGCTGGTGATTACACTATGTAAATAGCTTTCTAATATATTATATGATTAACAGTTTTGCCAAATAACTTTAAACAGTATAAACTCTCGTATAATGTTAATTCCTAAACATTATAGTTTTTTAAGACATGCAGCAGTTTAGAACTTCACATGTAGGCCCTACATACTTCACATATAGTTAAATTGTTTTAATATAGTTTTGCAAGTGTCATCAAAACGGGTTGACACTGATAATTATTATTCATATCTTTATACCGTTAAAAATAAATAGAATTTCCTTCAAATTTTCATTATTTGTTTATAAACAGTATATCAGTAGTTTTTTTTCTCTGTTTTCATGTCAATTACTGTAAATAGTTGTATTTTTTAGTTTTACTGTATGACGTCTTTTTATGATTATTAAGTGGTACTAATAATCTATCTAAACTTATGTAATCATTATATATTTTTTAATAAATTAGGCTATTATTTTTCACGACTTTATTATTGTACTCTATATGATCTAAACGTTTTATACATAACAGTGTTTACCCAAACATTAGTATTTTAGATAGATAGATAGATAAAAAAGTAAATAAATATTTCATTAACAATCAGCAAGCAAAGCCCTCGGACGATATCGAAGCATGAACAGTCCTAAACAGATCCGAGGTATGGTAACTTTATTTTTGTTAGTTTTTACGTACTTGATTAGCATACCCACAGCAGACCCCTTTAGATCTTTGTATGATATTATTGTGTAGTACAGTGTGTCAGTTGTTACATTGGTCTTTTATTTATAGTTGATTGTTTATTTTTCTCTTTTGCATTTTTCCATTTGTTTAATACATTTTCATTGGAAGATAGAGTTAAATCTCAATGAAGTTATTAATTATGATATTTCAACAAGGCTGATTAAAATACATAAACCAAAGATATATTCCTTGAAACTAGTAGTACATCGAGTTTTACCTCCATAGTAAATTGTGCATATAATAAAGGTTGTAATGCAACTGAAACGCAAAATAATTTATTTCCAACAGTAACCCCACATGTGGGGTATTTCAGTGACTTGCGCGTTAATCCTCTCTTGGCTGGAGTTGCCAGAGAGTCCCATCGCTAATGAGGGGTAACCCTGGGACCCTCTGACCGCACTCACTCAAATATTTTACGACCGACCCTTGTCTGGGTAACCCTGGGACCCTCTGACCTACAACCCAGTTCCATATGGCTTAGGCGGGCGACCCTTCCAACCCTTGTAAATTCCTTTGACCGTGAGTGCAGTTCGATGTCAGCCGATTGGCCACTGAGGACTTAGGTCACATGAAGCACTGTTACAAACAATGTCAGACCTGTGTTCGTCAGAGTGGAGGTCGGTTTTTAATGATAGTCTGCTTAGCAGGAGTCTCAAACTACAGGCTGGTGACATGTATGTGTACATAAATCTTCATTATATTCTTCAAAAAATTAATTAATAAACCACTACCAAGGGGTTATATATCCCTCTATTTAATTAATCAGCCTGACTTGACATACCCCTTTAACCGTTGTAGCGAAAATATTACTTCTACAAGGCAGTACTGATATAATGTCAAAGATACCAAACAAGGAATACAATGCAGTAAGTACTATAATTTGTGTAGGACAAGACAATGGTAGGTATGCGGCGGTGTGGGAGGTTACCTACGATGACCTTGACAAAGTCACATGACATCGCATGCCAATCACTCATAGAGGATAACATTTCACGTTCAGTATCAATTACATGGGTTGATTTACCAGTTTGTGATGTTTAAAGCTACATACATCAGTAAAATCCACCGTTAAAGTCACTATAAAAATCAGTAGAAGCAGTGATGTACTTTAATAAAAAAAAAACTTGTGTATAACGGAGTTTATATGTTAGCTTAGCCAGAGACTATATATACCGCCCTTATAGAGACATCATCCTAATGGTTCACTTAGAGACAATTTCTTTTTGTCCAGTATTGCAATTGCCTTAGAATCTGCTCCAAAGAGAAAAAAGTAACAACAAACTATAATTGCTATTTTATTGAATTTAAACTTACTACGATCTGTTTGTAAACTAAGGGTTGAAAGTCAAGACATAGTTATTTATGTACCTAGTGTGCAAAGGCATTTGCACCCGAGTTACACATAATATTTTTCCTACAGTTACTATAAAGCATATACAAAATTAGTCTTTCAAACAATACACAACACGTTTTTAAGTTAGGTTAAATCCAAGCGTTGAACGAAATGGGAAACACTGGACCAGCTGATCGTTGTCGTTGTTTTAAGTCTTGCCAACATATTTCCAAGCGTACACGGATTACGTTCCTAAAAGCACACTGTCTTGTGTTGCTTGGTTGGAAAACTGGAGTGTGGCAAAAGTAAAAAGTGTGCAGCAAAATTAAATAAATGCATCAATTAGCAGCTTTCTGTACAATCAGTGCAACGTAGCCCACTTTGTCAGGTGACTGTAGAAAATATTCTTGGCATTAAAGTTTCGCTCGTGGAAAAAATGCTAGGTTTATGACAATCGGTTTAACCCATTGACAAAAACCCGTAAGAGCCTACATATTATGTTTTTGACAACTGTCGACTGTCTGTGGTACGTACACTCCAGTAGACGAGAACCATCTGGTCGACCTAGTAGGAACTGGGATATCTCACGCTCAAAGCAGTCAACTAGTCGACCGTTGCGTTAAGATGAGAGGATGGCACCGCAGTAGTTAATGAAGAGACAGGATAATGGGAAGACGATCGTTACCAATGTCCCGCGGTCACGACTGCGCCTTGTAGGGAGGAAGACGTCGTAGCGTGCCGGAGGATACATTGTATAGACAGGTGGCGGGGCTTGAACCGGGGAACTGGGTCGTACATGCGGAACTGACGTCTTTATTTACCTCTTCTGTCATAGTTGTGCAGAAATATTGCGTGACTCAAAACTATATAGTAGGAGAATTAATGTGTATTTTAGTTTTTTTTCGTATGAATCTTAAAGTCAGCTGGTGTCACGTCTGCCAACGCATACAACCAAACATTATAACCTCTATACTTTAACAGCGATTATCTCAAAACATCAGTTTTCAAGATAGTTTAGCAGCTACAGCCTCAATTTATCAGTAGTTGCGGAAGAAATTGGTTCAGTTATCTCGATGTAAAAATATAAATAGTTTAATGAGTACGAGAAGTATGTTGGTTACTTCGAAGTAAATCTAGATTTATCTCGCCTTCAACATTCCCCTAAAAAAATATATTACTGAAACTTTTTTCTTACTAAATATATTTTTTTTTAACAGACAGACTTTAAAGAAATTACACTGTTCATGGTTTATTGAATTTTTCATGTGGTTTTATGAGGTTTCATCAGCTAATATTCGAGTATCCAATTTATTTTGGTTACAGGAAATAGAATAATTATATCCGAAAATGTTTTCAATATTTCACCCAACACGATTTAATTTTCCAGATTTCTGTGATCTAAACTGTTTGGTATTAATGAACAGTATTATCAACTGCTTTCTTCCAGGAAACTTAAAAAGTATCGCAATGTTTGATTTGTGTAAGCAACTACCATAATTTCTTCACACGGTTTTTGATCGATTATTCAGCAATGTAAAAAAAACTAAATTTATCTTTTTTTTAGCATCCTTAAATAACTTTCATATAGGTAGTCTTATGTACAGACCAATAAACATAAGCCAAGACCATGGTGGAAGTAAATATATGTTTACTTCCACCATGAGCCAAGACCTATAACATCCCCACATATCCACTGGTTATATGGGTGGATTCGCTTGTTGGGCTTTAGTTTATTATTTATTTGATATTTCATTTAAACATTTTAAACTGATTGTTACCTAACTTCTAATATTGTTTTATTATATTGAAAACACATTTATGATACTGAGCAAAAGCAACTGCTACGCGTATTTATTATAGGAAATTCTATAAATACTGTGAAAAACTAAATACCTCACCTGTTAATCTGCTTGAGGATGGCCACGGGGGGTTGGCGAGGGGCGGCGTTAAGCGATGAGGTGGGCCTGTAGGCGGGGGCAGGTCTGGGGGCGGCACGTGGGGGCGGTGCTGGCTGATCATAGTCAAACCCTCCCTCATCCACGTAGTTACCTTGTTGAGCTACAACAGCGCTGAACAGACACAGTGCTGCCACCTGTCGGACAAACAGTGAGTTAGCTCAACCTTTACTACTGCTGCTATCTGGTGGGCGAATGGTGAACTTAGTGCGATCTCGGGTGAATCGTGTAATTATGAATGGGAGAGTTACTACTATTTGAGATTAAATTGATCATTTTCCATTCTTATGATTCTACTCGATATTGAAATATGTTCAAAACACAATTTGTCAATTGTATAAGCAGAATGGATAAATTACTCCAATCTATCTAACCTTGGAATGCAGATATTTCCAAAGAAATTGTGATAACCTCGACCATACAAAATTAAATCTCTCAGAAGAAAAAGTAAATTTCTCGTTGGAGACTTGAACGCAAGGATGTAATGAAGAATTATTATTAAAATCAAGATGCTGCCTAAAATTTAATAATTTTTATTCATTTGTAAATATTTATTTCTTCGGTTTGAAATTAATTAAACATCTGCATTAAAATTGCTGAATGTATCTATAAAGAAAATCGCGTATAACGTGATACGTCTATTCATGAATTGGTAAGTGTTTGGCTTATACTACGCACCCAAAAATATGGACCCGAGGAAAAATGTTTGGAATGTTTTCATGTGCTGTTGGTACATTAAAGATTTAACTAACCAACCAATTGAACATCGATGTATTAGTATTCATTGTTTTGTAGAGGCTATAAATAACTTAAAATAAGTAACAATCGACTCTAAAACATTTTGGGTTAAAAACCAAAAGAAGTGTTAGAGTTTAGTGTCTTGGGCTTTTGGTGTGAGGGGAACGGCTTTGTTGTCCTTAAACGTTTGAAGAGGTTAATTTGACGTGTTTGGGTGCTTTCCTAGTATTTAATTGAAAATACCACCGACCTAGACACTAGAAAAAAATCATATGCTGTCGAAGGTGCTACGATAACGCCAATTACGATTTCCAAGAGGATTTTCAAGCGTTTTTACGATAAATCTCTAGAACACGTGTCTATCACCTTTGAGGTGGACAAAACTTGACCCTGTGGGGTCCGATAACCCCAGGAAGTGCCTTGCCAAGGTCCAGGGTGGCCGGAGACCAGGGCGAGGCTCACCTTGACTGGAGGCAGACCTTGGCATTCTAACTGTCCCCGGGTCTGCCGTCTACCGCACCCCAGTCGGCTGTATCACTTTTGTTCCGCGGTTTAGGCTAATTTCTTCACATCACTTTTGTTCCGGGGGTCAGCAGGTAGATTTCGGGACCGGTCAAAACATTGCTTTTGTTCCACGGACAAGTCTCTTGTTCTGCGACATCTCTCTTGTTTCTCTTGTTCATGGGGCTGTACTCTCCCTCCCCCAAATACTGTCTTTGGCTCTCCACCTAATTCTTTCTGTCATAGGTTAGGTTAGGTTATGTTAGGTAAAATTATTTAACTTATTGATATTTTTGCTAACAGGAAAATGGTAATTTAACGAGTTTTAAAGCCCGCATGACACACTACACAGTATCAAACTAGTAGCTCAATTCGAGACTCGTCACGGGATGTGAACCCACATGAAAAGTGCCTTAGACCATTGTGGAAAAGGCCACAAAATAGTCTGGATTTAAGGACCATTGTATATGGCCATAAAACACGACGTATCTTTCACAATAAGTTAAATTACCATGTAAAATGAACAGTATAAAAACCTGACACATACTTTGATTCATTAGCTTGTCAACCAATCTTATAATGGGTTGGTGGAAGATTCTTTGGCTTTTATGGGAATCACAAAAGTTGCAATAACTTTTTAAACGTAATTTTTACAGCAATTAGGGTAGTAAAATGTTGTTAAGAGTTAAAAGGGCTATAACATGATAGATTTTAATGAAAACCAGTCAAGCCAATGTTTTAGAAATCCGGTTTTCCGTTAGTATATGGGTTTTAATGGGAAAAGCGCCATAAAAGAAAGTAAAATTTCAAAACTAGAAACCCCCCTTGGGATATACTTTGTAGAGGGAGAGAAAGTAAAAAATAAGTAAAATTAACATTGGATATGTACGTTGTCAACCAATTTTGATGTTGCTGCTTTTGCCAGTAGAGTTCTGGGCTTTTCATCCTACATCAAAATTTGAAACTTATTTCATTCTGTGTTTCATGTTTAATGAACCAAAGGCTATTAAATTGTTCTCTCTTATTTTAGGTAGGATTCAGCAACATGTGCTTATCACTTTGATTATTATATTAGAGGACGATAAATAGTTAATTGAATATGTTTTCCAGACTAATTAAAATAATGTGAAAAGTGGTCCAGTAACAAGAATCAAGTAGGAAGCAGCATAATGTAATTTTAATAAATTTATAAAACTTCCTAATGCAAAGGGTGAGATATGTATGAGGAAGTATTTGTTTCGGAGACCATCTTCAATCCATGATAAAACATACTCTTTTACGAACTCTTATCCATAACATCCAATAAAAAAATGTTGGTCCATTTTAGTTTATAAACTCAGTATAAAATATATAAAATAATACTATGATTTACTGCACCTGAAAAAATTCGCTTGACAAAACCTCGAATAACACAAAGTCGAGAATGCAACCATAGAACAAAGGAATTTAATATAGACCATCAGACGTGCTGTGGTTACCATAGTTACCAAAGGTTCTGGCGCACACCGCTGGGAGCGTCTTGTAGTTACGAAGTGCGTAGGCCGTAACAACATGGTGCTCCCAGCGGTGTGCGCCAGAACCTATGGTAATCGCAGCACAGCTGACGGTCTATATTTCATTCTTTTTGTCTATGATGCAACTCAATAGCACCTGAGTGATTAGACAATCGGTTCCTAAACCGAGCGGAACGAACACGGGAGAGAAGAAGAGGAAGAGGTAATAGCGTGGTATAGGTACGATACAGGTTGGTTATTAGATAACAAATAATGGGTGGTTGAAGATATAGAAGTTAGCTATAGACAGGAAATTATAATTATACGAGAGTAATGTATATGGTATGGCCGAACTAGCCAGGAAATTGAGTTACAAGATTGCATGTAATCTTTAGAGTAATTTAAGCACAAATTATAGGAATAATTTAACAAATAAGACATGAATTAGCATTAAATCATATTTAATGAATGAGCTGTTTCCGTATATTTTTTGTTTTAACTTATTTGAAATTTACGAGGTTATAGTCTTAAACCTAATTTTAAATTTTAAATGCTAAAACTTTTATCACCACGCCCAAGATTCGCCCTTGGCATTACCGAAGTAGGATGGTCAGTATAAAAACCCGCACATCATTGCCGCCAAAACCTGATCTCGGAATACAAATGGATGCCCTGATTCGGTAATCGTAACTCTCAGGCTTGTTGCTTGGATCTAAAGACATTGTTCCACTTAGCAAAACAAGTAGACTCCTCATTCCATTGTAAATTTTAAGCTTGTTTTTGTGTCTAGTTCATGTACGTCCACACTGATCGCTGGGGTAGACCACATTTTGTTTGTAATATTTTAGGGTTATTTTCATGATTTGTGCTGTACTATTTGGTTGTGTAACTAGGAGACAAATTATTGTTTACCATAGTATAGTTTTATTTAGTTAAATGACGTTTTAAACGACTGAAATAACCAACAAAAAATTGTAAACGAAACATAAGCCTATTAGTTCGACGTACAGAACTAACAATAAAATTTGCTTAAGTTGTTACATAAGGATGACAAATCTACTAAAGGAGTATGTTAGGGAGTATGTTTTATCTATGGTTCCATTCTATAAGAAACCTAAACCAAACCTACGATGCTCACTATTGTGCTAAAATATGAGCAATACTAATAATGAATAAAGCAGTATAATGAATAGTAATACAACATTGTGCAAAAAACTATGTTGAATTATGTTGTGTTGGGCTAACTGTGCTAAAGATGATGTTGTATCAGCGAGTCGCAAACATTTTGGCAAATAAGGCTTTACAAATATATTGAGAATTTGTTTATTGTGTCAAGCTAAAAATGTCCAAGGGTTTCTAAGATTTTAAGTCTTACACATCAACTAAAATTATATTATATCGGAAAATAGCATTTCAGTAGGTTCACTTGGCATGTTTGTATCTTTGAATTTAATAACCATTGTTGCTAACTCATCCACAGACCCGTTGGGGATATATGATGATTGTATTAGCAACAATCAATGTACTAATATCGATCCATAAACACCACGCTATTTTCAAAAGTACGTTAACCCCCAAATATGGCCAGTATATTCCTTTGGAAAATGTTGGATGGTTGAATCTCATCGCGAGTTCCCTAAATGTATCTAACAAAAATAGAAAAAAACTTCGTCCACGAAGATGTAGCTGAATGAACCCATTTTGGCAATCAATAGTCGAGTTTAGGATAGGATGTCAAACACATTTGATACCTCGTTAATCTTTATTTAAATTTACATGCTAGCAGTTAAACACGTTTGGTTATAACAACTAACAACTCATTTAATTCGACCGCTATTCCAAATAAGCCTAAACCTAATGATTACTGGGACGGGTGGCGTCGTCCTGTTGTCCAACTACTAGGAGGTAACGAATTGTGGATATATTATATAGGCATGCACTCTGGATGCGATACTCCCTGATGTGGATTAACGTCCGCACGAGTGAGTACTACGACTATCCGCAGTACTATCCTGATATTTAGACCATTTCGTATATACCAAGGCAAAAATGTGGATTGGGTTCCACTATAAACTGTAGGTCCCTTAGTTGTAATTATCTATTAATTAACAGCTGTGTCTAAGGAATATGTCGGTCTTAGTCACTAACAATGCTACAAGAACGCGCCACTCATCCTACACTAATCTCAATTCTTACTTGGCTTAAAATACCTACTTTGTATGGTCGCCATTTCATTGAAAAGTATTAAAGTATTAAAGTTACTTAATTCAGCTTGATCTAAGTACATGACTGGTCAACAGGTATGCAGGCTTTGCAATAGAGGGCGCTTTGGTCGAGTGGTCCCAAAGAATGTTATGTGTTCATGTTGCAATGAAGCTGAGCTAACTATTTATTAATCAGGCCATTCGGCGGATAAGAAACGGTATTCCAAGGTCCTTGAAAAAATCAGCGAAGCTTGAAGCTTGGTCATCTGTAGTTAAAGATAGACTTCAAATACCCCCGCCACAGCAAACCTGCAGACTAAGCGAATTTCCATTTACTTGGCTGGATTTCTACTAAAATATTCCCTGAAAATTTTCAGATTTATTTCCTATTTAAATAACATTAATTTTAATGAGTACCTAGGTTTGCTGCTACAGGGAAGGTATTGAGGTGTATTTTTATTGAAATGTTGATCGCTTAGTATAAAATGAACAAACTGCCAAATTTGATTAAAATATATCCATAAACAAGCAAACTACAACGGTTTATTTATTCTCCATTAGAATAACATATACATTTTACATTTAAAGTTTGTTTTATCATTTCCGTAACTGTTAGGCATAAAACAACGCTTATATATCCAAATTATTCTTTTTTTAAGCTCTACAAAATGATCTGGAAATAAATTGTGAAATTTTACGTTTTTAGAGTCAAAAACGGAAAAACCCAATTTTTTCCCCGTAAAACCCCGTTCCCATTGTCCAATCATGCTGGTTTGCGAACTCGTTGGAATGAATGTTGGTTTACACGTTTCTACCAAATTTATGCTCAAATTTACGGTATGCGATAGTATTACACATCTACCATAGCCATAATGTTCTACTACTTCACCTATACAATACAGAAAGATAGATTATAAAAATTCGCAAAATATCATGAATTATTCATGAAATTAAAAACATAAACATAACTGTAAACAATCCTACTTTGGCAGTTCTCATTGTGTATCACAGTTTTTTGTTGCTGCTTAGTTCAAATTAGCTGTTTCCATAAATAATGAAAAAAAATAATAGTGCTTCACACTGTTGGTAAATCTTATATTATTATAAGATTATAGACTTTAATGCTTAAAGACTTTAATGCTTTTGCATATCATAGAACCAACTCTTTTAGTTGAAACAACTGGCTAAATTCTTTAATTCCCTTTAAATATTAATACTCATAAGGTTAACATGGGGAACAGCAGAGCCACTGGGGCGGGGCCCAAAAGGATTTTTGAGATAAGAATATGCCTATATGTTATTCGGGAATGTGAGCTATCATGATGCAACATTTCAGCCCAATCCGACCAGTATTTTTCGTGTTTACTTGTTTGTGTTTATTTCGGATCATTTATGCTCGAGTTATCGTGCTAACGGAATCCGAACAGAGGGTATTTTTGGCCTCTGGGGACCTCAAACAAAAAAATTAAATCTGTCCCGGGTCCAGGTCTTATCACAAGTACTACGGTAATAGCTTATTCCCTATATGGGAAATTCGCTAAAATCCGAAAGTCTAAGTGATTTAGTCAGGTATATTATGTTATAGGTACTCTATAGATTTCGTGACATGCACCAATCCCACATTAATACAGGTTTTAAACAAATGTAAAAGGCCCATTAGTTTTTATAATTTTAAATTTTACAACATTTTGTAAAGATTCAATTTTTTGTTCGGGTTTCGTTTTATTCAAATGTAGAAACGGATGCCATAAAGTATGAAATAGTTTTTTATTAGTCCACATAAATTATTAGTTACTATTTTCCTTTCGATTTTACGACAAATACTTTAAATAAATCATTTGACAGAAAATTACAGTGAAGTTTAGAAATCCTGTTGTACTTTCTACGATTTTTGAATTTCTCCACAGAACGTATTTTCTTTGAGATTGAGGTTGGTATTTTTTTCATATAGGTTTTATTAAGGTTTTATTTTCGACTGCAACCTTGATTACTATCAGCAGCATAAGGGGATGTCGCCCAAATATTACCAAGATTTCTAAAAATTCGCTAATTTAACTGGTTTACACAAAGATCAAGTACAACCAAGTTTTTTATTACACACTTTTGGAACATCCCTAGCTTTAATAATCGTATTATTTCTTAGAAATATTATTTCTTTTAAAAACTGAAGACACAACGAAATAATATTAGTTATTAAACCTAACTTACTCATATTATAGGCAAAGGCAAATATCAAACATAGGTTTACCCTTTTATAAACTTTAAGATCAGGCGAGGACATTTTAAAGTAATTTTCTGTTTAGTGATTTTTTAATTTCAAAAATGTTTAAACTACGAGTAATTTAACTAACCAACTACTACAGTGCACCATTACGCAATACAGTACTGAAATATCTGACCAACAGTGCATTACAATCTAACCGAAAATGAAACACATGAAAAGTCAACTCGCAGTCTCCAGAATCAATGCTAGTGGTTTCCGAAACCACAGTGACCGAGTCCCCTACATTCACCCTTTGTGGCTATCAGCTGATTATTGCGTCAGCTGACTGTTATCAGCTGTTACGGCATCTGTTCTCTGCACGACCGCTACTGTCGTGGTTAACGATCCATTCGCATCCAACTTTACTTTCTCATTTAATCGCAACTAGGCTATTTCCTAATGTGTTTAGTATATTCGGAAGTAGAATAACGCAATAGGATTAGCAATTTTCTACTAGAAATTAGTTATCTTCATATAGAATTCCCCTAGTTCATCAATTCATTGTTCAGCGGAAAGAGATTTCAAGGAATATTTCTGTCCAGTTTATGGGAGTGCGGGTGAGGGTTTATGTTTAATTTTTGATATTGTAATTTTATTTTTCATTTCAAAACTATTTTAACTAAAAAAATATATTTGTAAACTATAGTTTGTCACTTAGTATTAAAACACCTACTGCAAGATTTGTCCTGTAGGAAGAAGATATCTGTCCCTTAGACATTCATACGTAACTTGAAAATAAATAAATACATACATAGGCTTTAGATTTTACGACAACATGTAAAGAGTAATGTAAATATCTAAAATAACAAATAAAATTAAATTAATACGTTTGTAAAGTAGTTTTCTAAGGTTTAGGTGAACATTAGTCAATGTTATACGTAAAGTTATTAGAGGACGATGTATAATTAAATATTCCAAATAATGTACGGGCATTTAAAATAACAAATAATAGGTAATGAAAGAATTGAAGAATGTCGTTGATGCTAGTCTTAATACATTCACTAAGTGGAAATTGAAGAATGAACTATAAATGTGTTTCAACAAAAAATCGCAAAAAGTTGCCGATCAACCTTGTGAAGAAATCATATAAATTACGGTGTTTTTTATTGAGTAGTGATAACTTAATTTTATTCAAAAGAATTATTGCGTTTATAATCGGGTTTGTTGTGGATTGAAGTTGGAAAAGGAGAATTTAAATAATTGGCTCTACCCGAAAGGGCTAATAAGAAAGCTGATTTGATTGACGGTTGATTTCCACACACGCGCAACTATTGTTTACTAGTTGAATAATGACCTTGCCATAAGCGCTTGACAATAAATCGTTGTTTTCTCAAATTTGACGAAAAGTGTCGACTTAACCTTGTTGTTATCATCTTAACAGCTTTTATTAGCAACTACTTACTTCTGAGGCTATTTTAATAGTGTAATTTGCTCTCTTCTTTCCTCAAACAAATGGAAGGATTAAATTAACAGAGATTTAGCGTGTAACAAAATAGGATTTGTGAATGGGTTAGAAAGTAATCTTGAACCTATTAAAGACAGAAAGACCCGTTTTACATTAGTTATTGTTATGTACTGATATAAGTATGCAAAACAGTATATAGTGTCGGTCCGGTACAAGTTGACCTTGGCTTTTCACTACCGCTATCCAGGCACTACCTGATTTATACCTACCTACAGGAAGTTCTCCCTTCTCTTACAAAACGATAAATTGCCATCATATTGTATATGTATAAGTACTGGTATTTAACTCAAATATTTAAAACAAAAAATTCACTATTTCAGAAATTTCGTTAAAAAAATAGAAGTGCTATTAAAAATTGTTAAATCCCCAAACATAGTAAAACCAATCAAATCAAATCAAATCAAAATAGCATTTATTCCGCCAAAATATTTACAAATTACATCATGTTAGTACCATACAGAAATGTTTGGTAAACTATTTTGGTAAACAATTTTATAAACTAATGATTAACTGATATCAAACTTGGTAGATAAACAAAATACAAAACATATTGCTAGTAGCTGGTCAATACGGTATATAATATTATGCAATATCTAAATTTGTCAAAAAATTATGAACATATTTTCCAAGCAACAAAGGAAATTCGTTAAATAACAAAACAAAACTTTTAAAACAATTTTTATTGGTTATAGGTAATCAGAAAAGGTGGAATAGTTAAACAAAATAATTAACAAACTTAAATCAAGCTATGCAATATGCATGTCTAGATATAGGACGTCAAAAAATAACTGCCCAGTAACATGTAACATGAAATTTTAATTTTAAAATTTGTGTAGTTAGTGGGATTTTAAAAGTAACTATCATATAGCTGGTGATGTTTAAAGGAAATAATTTTAAAATCTGTTAGAGTTATAAAAGAAAATTGAAAGCTTATCTAGATTCTAAAACCTGTGAAAATAAAACTTTTGAAAAGCTTTCATAGGCAAAACAATCATTTGGAACGTAGCACCTAAGCTCTAGATCCCAAACAATGTTTCCTTAATTTAGAGATATCTGTGTTAAAATTAACATTCTACTATGAATCCATAAAATTTTATTGAAAATAGAAAACAATCTTCCATTATTTTCTAATTTTATAGAAATAACGTCAATCCAAAAACCATATTAAAAATAGCTTGAACATAACACTATCACTGTTCAATAAGGTGGCCATCTCCCATAGACCATGATTAGGAAATTGAGCATACACTACCATTTTTGAAGTAGGTACAGTACTGTAGACATAACATTTCAAATACGTCACCACTAAAAATTTAAAGTACCAGATCAATTTGTTACCAAATAAAACTAAATTGTAATTTCCAAAAAATTTAAATTTACTCACGATAGTGGCTGTCTGTGTGGGTGTGGAGACCATGACTGTGTGAGAGGAGGCAAGCCACTGACTGGACGAGTGGCGACTCAGCCACTGTTATATCTGGTACAGACCAAGGTCCACGGCGCATCTGCTGATAGTAGTGATAACATGATAATCAGCTGAGCTCATCACTGTGGTATGCGGGACGCTGCTGAGGAGGTGTGTACATTAATTTCGATCAAATGTTCCTTAGTTGCGCCCAAGTCCAAGCCAGGTAGGGGTGAGTTGCCGGTAGAAGGATTGTCATTGTTTACATGTCATTCTAACATGTCCTAACCTAACCTAACCTAACTCAGCCCAACCTAAACTACTAAACTATACAGTCAAAGAGGGCCGCCACTTGGTGCAGTTATAATGAACTTATTGGGGGCTCCCTGGAGTATTTGGCGCAATTCAGGAATACCCGACTACCTGACTCAGGTCAGTGGGCGCAATTAATGCCTACAATTTATGGGACCGCGGGAAATATCACGGTGCTCAGGTTATGGGACTGAAATAGCTTGGATAGTGATGAAGTCATTACTTATTAATCACATATCTTTTACTCATCATATTTCTCATTAATTACATATCTTTTAATCTATTATTGACACTTTACATTTCAATTTTTAAGTTCTAAAAATACTAATTATTTAGCTTAAAGGAACATTTTTTTTAATTTCACTCTTCTTTATATCAAATCACAAATCCTTCCATCTTCAGTTTCTTCACTCACAAAATCATTAGCAAAACACTTAGTTTTGCTAATGAGCTGATATAAACTTTAGAAATATTGCTGTGCCTTATCAATACAGTCTTTTGAAATATTAAAGAAACTATGTCTATAGGTACTATAAAAAATTGTAAACAAATCATTTAGCATTAAAGACAGCGCAGACAAAACTAATATGATTATCAAAGCATCAAGGACTAAAAATGTAACAGCAAATACAGTAAATGTTTCATTGCATCTCTGATTCTACTCTACAAAAATATCAACAAACAACTTAGGCCTAATATACAAACCAGTTCTTTTAATCAGTTCCATGCCCATTGCCTTTACATTTCCACACTTAGGCCTACCATTAAGTAAACATAGAAACAGATATTTCATTGATTTTAGAAACAAAAGAAAACTGTGTACTGCTTAGTTTTATGATATTTTCCTTGGTTTAATTTAATCAGTGGTGTGGCAAAACACAAATAATAAATGTATCAAATAAAGTAAATGTGAACTGAAAGCTATGTTAAGATAAAATAGCAGTATTTTGTATTACCATTTGATAATTAAATATAGGCTAGTTACACAAAAACATCAGATTTTAGAAAACAAAAATCAACAACGTACAATTTAGTTATTGATGATATTCTTTAGTTTATCATTTAAGCATAGGTTTAGCAAAACACAATAACTTAATTTACCTAAATCTAATATATAAAATTCTCGTGTCACAGTGTTTGTCTGCAAACTCCTCCGGAACGACTTCACCGATCGTTATGAAATTTGGTGTGTAAATTCTGTAAGTATGCGAATCGGACGTAAACTATTTCCCGTTTCGAAATTCTTAAAAGGGCTCCGCCCCAGTGGCTCTGGAGTTTCCCATGTTAACCTTATGAGAAATGAAATTAATGAATCTTAACAGCTGTTTCAATTAAACAAGTTGGTTCTGTTCTATGATGTTCAATAGCATTAAAGTTACAAGGATTACCAACAGGGTGCAGCACTATTATTTCTTTTACATTTATGACAACAGCTAATTTGCAACCAAAAGGTGAGTGAGCGTAGCGAACGAACTTCAACCTGGAGGCGAGTGAGCGTAGCGAACGAGCTAACCTGAAGGCAAGTGAGCGCTGCGAACGAGCTCCAACCTAAAGGTGAGTGAGCGTAGCGAACGAGCTCCAACCCAAAGGTGAGTGAGCGTAGCGAACGAACTTCAACCAGGACGTGATTGAGCGATGCGAACGAGATCATCTTGAAAATTAAACGTAACGGTACTTTCTTTCCATCGGTCTGAGGGGAAACCTATAACATAGGCGATACGAAGTTCGCCGGGTCAGCTAGTATACATATAAAAAACAATGCGATGTGCAAGTTATGTTAAGTTAATCTAACACATATTATGCAGTTAGAATTTATTTAAAGTAGCCTCCAAATTCATACAAAACATCTATACATTGTAATTTTCATACTGTTTCCATGAAAACATATCAATAACATTATTTTCATAACTTAGACGCTTTACAAAATCCAAAGCAGAGCCGGAGTTAATACAGCAACGGTTATAGAATATTTTATTCTATAATCATTGACATAGTTTTAGAATAAATAATCCATGATAAAAGGTTAGATTAAAATAAACTTACCCCATAGTTATAAAAATATTATATTTAATTTCTTTGTATCAGCTGTCTGAAATTGTGAAATATGCAGTTTAGCAGTTCTTATTGTTTACATTTAAATGTCAAAGCAAATGTAAACAAATAATTGTTAGTGTTCTCATTGCAGCCATGGAGACCAATCAATATTTACTTATAAAATGTTCACCTCACAACTTTTAAAGCCAAAGGGGCAAAGCCTACGGTCAGTATCGAAATGTTAATAGTCCTATAATGGTCCTTAAAATGGTAGCTATATTTTTGTAAAATTTAAGCCCAGTTGGTTCAGTAGTTTTTGCACCTATTAGTAACACACATACAGACAGACACCATTAGATTTTTATATAATAGTATAGATATAGATTTTCAAGAATACATAGTATTAAGTTGTAGAAAATATTACACTCTTTCTGAATATCAATTTCCACTTTGGTCTATTTCCTCGCCATTTAAAAGTTATTTGCAAAAGTGCTAAGCAACCTCAACATTTTTATTTGCTAGAAAATACTGAAATAGATATATTTTTGTTAATATTTCTAGAATTAAATCTACAATTCTACTTGACAGATTTTAGCGAATTTAGGGAAGTAGCTATTACTGTAGGTGGGTGGCATGGTAAGACCTAGGCCCGGAACCGATTTACTTTTTCATTTTGATGTCCACAGAGGCCAAAAACACCATTCGGTCAAATTTATATATACTGTACGTATATAAAAATATATAGATTTCAATTCATTCCGGCATGTTTTTTTTCGTGATGGCCATTATCAATGTTATTCTTAGTTTGTTGGCTACTCATCACTAAATTCAAATTATACACAGTTTACTAAAAAATGTGGAGGTTTCATCAAATTTATTTCGAATTTATAATTCGAGTTTTCATCAAAACCCATATTCAGCCTTTGGTAACAACACATCAGGTAAATAAACTATGTTTTATATATATTTTTTATTTTTATAGATTAACATATGTTTGAATTATTTTAGAATTAAGTTAGTAAGAATTTTTTTTTTATTTACCTGATATGTTGTTACCAAAGGCTGAAGATGAGTTTTGATGAAAACTCGAAATATACCTCCACATTTTTTTAGTTAACTGTGTATAATTTTAATTTAGTGATGGGTCGCCAACAAACAAAGAATAACATATAATATAGATTTATATATGTATGTGTCCGTGAACACGATAACTTTTTTGAGTTATTTTTTCCCGATTTTGATTAAATTTGGTTTGAAGGTGTAAGGTGGGATAAACTTGAATGAGTTCGCGAACCAGCATGATCGGGACATGGGAACGGGATTTTACGGGTTTTTATGGGGATAAAAATGGGTTTTTCTAAATTTTGACCATTTAAACACAAAATTTCGCAATTTCTCTCCAGACCTTTTAAAATATCTTAAAAAAAATTTAGTATATCAAAGTGTTTTTGTACAATTAGTGGTTACGGAGAAAATTCAAAAAATTTTTGTTATAAAATCCCATGTTATTCTTATGGAGAATATTAAATAATTGTAGATTGCTTGTTTATGGATATATTTTGATCAAACTTGGTAAATTTATTTATTTTATACTAAGTTATTAATATTTTACTAAAAAAACACGATTTTTACCCTCCCTGTAGCAACAAGCCTATGTACTCATTATTCTATTCTATTCTATACTCATTAAACCTAATCTTATATACAAAAAAACTTATTACAGCTAGCCTGACCATACTACTGGACCTAATTACACGTGGTTGGTAGCAAATGAAAGATATTTTCCTGTAAATGTGCAGAATCCATTTATAAATTACAACAGGCTCAAAATTAACACGAAAAATGAATTTGATACAAAACAATTAACATGGGTCTTATGGGTTGCCATTTAAATACATTTAATTGAAAATCAATTAATTCAGGCATCTGGAAATTTGCTTAGTCGGCAGGTTTGCTGCGGCGGGGGTATTATTAAATATTATGTCAATGGAAAGCTTCATCCATGTAGATTTGCAAATAATTATGAAAGTTTGATTTTTTTACAGATTTATGTCAGATTTATTTATAGATTTATGTCTGTAAAGGGTTTGCCGGTATGCATTATAATCATATAAAAATATTTGTTGATAATTTAACAGCTGATTGTTGTATTGTTATTTCATTAATTTATCTTTGTTAGCATGTTGTCATAGACAAAAGAAATATTATTCATGGTCTATTGTCTGTGATGTTGTTCACAATTTGAATTTGTGTTAAAGCGTGTTCATTATGTTATGTGTGTGTTTCTAAAAGTTATGTGCTTTATCTGTACCATTAATATTAGTGAGTAAAGTGGTGCATGGATTTCATAACTGTTATTTGCCTAGAGACCTTTATATTCAACCACAACGGGCTCTGTTAGTATAATTATAAAACAAAGCATAAGGTGACGTTCTGATAAGGTTCTCATAATGTTTCTGTTTTTAGCTAATTTCGCTAATATCTATTACCGTATATGGCACGGTAAGACCAAGGCCTGGGACTGATTACCTTTTTTTTCATTTTGATGTCCCCAGAGGCCAAAAACACCACCCGTTAAAAATGTTATGCATATATATGTGTCCGTAAACACGAGAACTTGAGTAATTTTTGCCCGATTTTTAATACATTAAGGTTAGGGTAAGGCGGGATAAACTTGAGTGAGTTCGCGATCCAGCATGATCGGACCATGGAAACGGGATTTTAGGAGGGGTTTAATGAGAT